GCCAGACCAGGTAAGGATAACAGATTTCCTTCCCTGAAAGGCATTAGTGAATCAGGTGGGTTTTTCCTGACACTTCACAATGCTTTCATGGTAATCATTAGATGCTTAAATCCAGATTCTTTGTGAACTCAAATTCCACCATAGTGGGATTGGAACCCACATTCCCAGAATATTACCTGGGTTTCTAGATTGATAGTCTAGTGATAATACCACTAGGCCAACCCCAGTTGTATGACATTTGCAAACAGATCCGTCAAACTAGCAAATTTCTCGTGGATTAGGTGAACAAATGAAAGAATACAAAGGAAAGAGAACCATTCAGGAGAAAGGAAAGTCCCTTTTTACAGTCTTGTAAATATTTAGAAACTTGGGTAATTTAGAATTTATATGATAATGCTTACATTATAAAAAAGATGATGTTTGTCTTGAAATACAATCATGTATAATTGGCCCTGTTAGTCTGCCATAGTCATGTAACCTCTCATGAGGCCCACACCCTGTAAGCAGGCATCTGAAACTCACTTGAATTAAGACTTTGTGTTGAATATAATGCTGCATTAGGTGCAAAATGCTTATCTTTGGTCCCTTCGTCCAAGTCAATTTTATAAATTGTAAAACTTGAGGCCCCAACACTGATCCCTGTGGCATACCAGTTATTATATTTTGCCAACCAGAAAAGGCCTATTTGTGCCTGCTGTTTCTTGTTAGTTTGCCAATCTTCTGTCCATGCCAATCTTCTGACCATGCTCACCGGAGTTTTTATTTTCTGCAACATTCCTTTACAAACTTCTTTTGGTAATCTAAGTACAGTACTGTACATGTACTGGTTCCCCTTTGTCCATGGTGTGTGTTACTTCCTTGAAGAGCCCCAGAAATTGGCTGAATATGGTTTCTCTTACACAAAACCATGTTGACTATGTCTGACTGCCTTGAATTTGAACCTTGTTACACGTAATGAAAATGACCAACACTCTTCTGTCCTGTTTTGATGAAATGTCACTGGAGTCAAAATATTAACGATGTTTTTCTCTCAACAGATGCTGCCAGGCCTGCTGAGTTTCTCCAACACTTTGTTTTTGTGTCAGATTCCTAGCATCTGTGGTTCTTTGTGTTTATTACCAACACTCTTGCCTGTTTAGTGTTTTCCATGAAATTAAGTGTTCTGTTTTGTTTTACTGTGAGAACTTGATAAGGAATGGTTTGGGGGCAGGCTCAGGAATGAACGGCAAGTGCCAAAAACAAAACATTTAGAACGTACACCTTGAGACCTTTGCTGGGCGAGAGATGTTGGGATCTTGCAGAGCTGAATGAGGCTATTTGACCCATTGTGCCTGAGCCAAAGCTATCCAGTTAGTCCCACTCCCCCTCTCTTTCTCTCGTAAATGTTTACTTTCAAGTATTTATCCAATTTTGTTTTGAATGTTACTCCTAAATCTGCATTATTTGAATTGTAGATCCACATAACTTGCTGTGCAAAAAAAACTCTGTTCATCCCATTTCTGATTCTTACCTTACCTTAACTCTGCATCCATTCATTACTAATATTCCTATTTTCTCTCATTGAAACCCTTCGTTCTTGTTGGTCTGTCTATTAACTACCATCAGGATTCTGTCTGCGCGAAGGAGAACAACCTTCTACTCCCCGCATAACCTAAACCGTTATTATAGGAAATCACTTTAGCACACTCTCCGTGGCTTTTACAAAAAGACCTTTACTCCAAATTCCTTCGTTGTCAGCAACCTTCCTGTGTAGGTGCAAGCCAGCTGTCACCTTAGGATGTATTGGCCTTGGAGGGAGTACAATGTATGTTTACAAGAATGAAATCCAGACTTCAGGGGTTAAGTTATGGGGTGATTATGCTGGTTTTCTCCAGAATTTGGAAGGTTAAGGGGTGGTCTGATCGAAGTCTTCGAGATACTAACAGGAAAAGACAGGGTAGATAAAGATAAACCATTTCCACTGCCTGGGGATTCTAGAGCTAGGGCATAATCTGAAAATTAGGCCTAGGTGTTAAGAAGCACTTAAAGGGTAATAGAGGCTTGGGTCTCTCTTAGAGCAGTGGATGCTGGATCAGTTGTTAATTTTAATTCTATGATGGATAAATGTTGTTAAACAAATATATTAATGGATATGGACCAAAGGCTGGTATATGGAGTTAGTTGACAGATCAGCCATGATCTCATGAAATAGCAGAACTGACTCGAGGGGCTGAATGGCCTAAGAATGGTTCCTATGTACTTATGTTACAGTTATAACACATAATGCAATATTCTGCAGTTAAACTGGAGATGTGACTAAAATGAGCCTGTCCATACCCAGCATGATCTGGACCACAGTTAAGCTTCAGCTGATGCGTGACACGAATATTACTAATCATTTAAGTGTTGAGTAATGACTACCTCCAGCAAGAAAGGATGCAACCATCTTCCCTTGACAATCAAAGACACTGCCACCGCCAAGCCTACCACACCATTCTCCCCGCAATCACCACCTTGGGATTTCCATTGATCAGAATTGAATGGCCCCTCTGTTTCAGCCCCTCTGTTTCTCGCAATCTGTTTCACCCATACTGTTTCACCCATACTGTTTCACCCATACTGTT